GCCCGTTAGTCCACACCTGAAACAAAACCAAGAAAAGCTCAGCTGAAAGGCCCGCTGGCTTTCGACGCCAGTCGAGACGGGCAGCGGTGGTTTAGCCGCAGCTGCGATTTGACCTTCCTGTTTACACTGAACATTTTTTCTTACCGCGTAAAGTGACTTGTTTGTTTTGTTTAAGAAATGTGACGGTCGCAGCAGTTCTGGGAATAATTGTTTGGGTTCTCCGTATGTCAGGAAAGAAATATGTTAATGTTTGAGATCAGGCGACCTTTTCTTTTCTTTTCTTTTTTTTTAAAGCTTATTTATGCGTGTTGTGTTTCTCAACCTTACCTTCCTGCGAACGTGTGCAATTCAGCTTTAAAATGAAGTTGGTTAGTAACATATTAAATATTTCATGCCCCAAACAGTGTTTTTAGTCAGGGGTTGATCTAGAACCGGTCGGCCACAGCGTTATTTCTTGCATCGTTACCGTTTGCAGAACAACGCCCTGGTCGTTTGGCAGAATTTGCTTGTCCCTGATTCTTTGTAGTTAGCGCAAGTCCCTAGTCCTTTCCGCAGCGGGTTAGGACTGCGGGCGGGATGGGAGCAGCGCGGATGCGGTCGGCGGGCGGCTGCGGGGGGGGGCAAGCGGCAGGACGCCTGCTAGAGCGAAACAAGCGTCTGTCTCGGCCAGACGTCAGGTCACGCGAGGCACGTGACACGTGCCGTCAGCGGTCAGGTGATAAGCTGCTTTTTTATTTTTGTTTTTTTAATATATACCTTTAATTGTTGCACTTCTGCCTCGTGCAGTAAATATTTGGCCTGTTAAGAATGGCGTGAAGTCACTAAGGTGACAAAGAACGGAAAGCATGCTAGTGCCAACGTGGAGAAAATGTTCTTTGTAAACAGAGAACCGTTTCGTGTTCGGCGTGGAACAAATTAACAAAAGTACCAAGCGGATAGATCCAGGTAGGAGAGTCATTTGGGACAGTCAGTACGGTTATTCCAACAGGAGACAGCATATACAGAGAGTAATTTGCCCTTCCGAAACTTGCTGGATGTATTTTGTAATAGCCCACAATATATGTCTTGTTTATATATGGTATGAATTTTGCTTCAGCATGTCTTAATTTACTCTTGAATACGTATATCTTCATATATTTCACTCCATAAAAGGGTAAAATTCTACATAAATGTCTCTAATGCCAAGTGAAATAGAAGCTTTGGTAGAAGGCGGACAAATGGAAAACGTTCGGATGGGTCTTTATTCATTGCCTCTTGGTGCCGAGAGGTATAATGGTTTCAGTAGTCCTGCTTGAATGCTTGCAGCCGTCGCCTTGAGAGCTGGGATCCCTCTCCAGCATCTTAGTGTGTACAAGGTTAAAAACCTGTATGCTCAAAGTTATATTTCTGACTCTTCTAGGAAAAGAAGATTTTGCTGCGCATGATACACAGAGCTTTTCAAATCATCCTGCGGATGGCACTTGGGTTGCAGCTGTATTATCAGTGAATAAGAAAACAGGCCACAGTTTTTCAACAGTATGAATTCTTCAGACTGTATTGTTTTGTTAGCCTGAGGCAAGAGACTGCGCGCTTAGTACTCGTCTGTGTAAAATGAGTAATCTGAGACAAATGTGTAACTGCGCCGCGTATACAATATGTCCAAACACTATGGACTAGCCAGTCTTGCTGTGCGACACAGGCATCCAAATATGTTTCACGGGCAATAGACATACGTTAAAAATGATAATTTTATTATATACTCTGAGATTTTACTGCACACAAGTGATTCTAAAAGCATTATAACAATGACATTGGAACTGTGGGTCTATTTATCCCATTAGAATTAGAATTTTTTACCCTAGGAAGTTGTTCTTACTAGCAGAATCGTCTGTTACGTAAACAGAATTCTTTATTTTTACGTGAATTGTATGCCTGAGTGTGACTGCAAATATATATTCACAGTACGATCTAGTTTGGAGTTTTTAACACGATTTGCATTAGTGTGTGTGATAGCTTGAATTTTCTTTCCTTGCCAAAGCTGCTTAAACAATGCCAGTGACAGATTTCGGGTTTTATTCTTTGTTAATGTCATTCTTCATCCTCTCTGCCCCACATCAGGGAGGAAGTGTTGTGGTTTTGCTGTTTTAATGAAGAGAAATGATGCATCTATCAACTAGAATTTACATTGGAGAGCACATCAATTCAGTTGCCTTGAGCTTGCTGAGTTTGCATATTCAGGGCCAAGCAGTGCTCTCAATTACTCCCGTGCAACCCCATTAACTTCAGTGGGTTGTGCAGTTCAGAAGTGGGTTTGTGGAAAGCAGAGCGATACTAGGGGAAAAAAAATCCGCTTCAGAGATGAAGCTCCAAAATATTGTCCGGTACCTAAAAAGAGATGTGCATACAGTCGTAATTAAACTTTTGAAAGGTCGGGATATTCATTATGCAGTAATGTCATTGAGCATTTCTAGTAGATGTACAGAACGGAGCAGATAGCCTCCCAAAAATCACAGCAGCGAGGCGAAAAGCACTTCCAGCCCTGGAAATAAATCATATGTCTTTAGTAGACTGTATTCTGTAATTGCTGTTAACCATAGGGTGTTTCTTTCTCTTTTCAGGAGCTATGCCGTCAGCGTATGGCAGTAAAAACATCTGACCGCCCGGAGCCCCTGCATGCTTCTCGAATAAATAGTGTTTCTTCACAATTTAGTGATGGGCCGATTCCCAGCCCCTCGGCTCGGAGCAGCACATCATCCTGGTGTGAAGAACCGGTTCAGTCCAACATGGACATCTCCACCGGTCACATGATCTTGGTAAGGCGTTTTTAGTTTGCGGCATGTGCAATGTCATCCGAATTCATAGTACCTGTTTAGCATTTAAAAACTTTTAGAGGGGAGCTGTCTTTTCACATGTAAAACTATTCCTGAGCTTTGTTGGTAATCTCAGCTTTATATAATTAAAACTAAAGGGATTTTTATTTCCATTTCTTTTGCATTATATTGTTTGTTTGTCTCTCTGGGGAACGTTCTTTTGTCTTGGGCATATGAATTGTTTGTGTGCTTGCTTTAAAAAGATAAGCCATGTTTTGTCCTTTTGTCCTGTTCATTTACATTTAACTCAGCTTGGGCAATTGAAGAAAACTGCTCCGTTTCTGATCAGCTTGCTTCTTTTTCTTGAGTGCCTTCAGTGTGCTGATTTTGAGCTGAGGATGTGGCAGGAGAATATTAATAATACAGAACAATTTCTTTTTCATGACAGTTAGATAGGAAGAGATCTGAATCTGGAACCTAGACTCAATTTTGTTTTGTTTAGTTGGTTTTTTTTCCAAGTTGGATCTCTTTTTATGTTTGAAACGATACAAATGCATCCTATTAATGGAGCCTGCATTGGAAAAGTTGGGTTACTTCCAAACACAACTTGAGATCAGTATCAGTGTAGAAGATGGATGTGTGAATATCTGCGTGCATTTATGACATGGCTTTAGCTATGCAAAAAGGGCCGAGTCCAGTGATTGGAACTGGTTGCAGCTTGTTTTTGTCTCTCTCTCTCTCTCTCTCTCTCTCTCTCTCTCTCACTGTTAGTGTCCTGCTGGGACAGCTGTGGTGTAAACCCCCATTTTTGTGCCTTATTGTCCTCTTCCTTTAAATGGGGGGTGATGATATTTGTTTTCTCTGTAGGGTGCATTGAAATTGGCTGAGGAGAAGTTAGGTGATGGGAAGATGATGAGTCACATGTAGTCACATGTTGCTGTTTTCCTTCCTGTATATGACTTCTGTTTATTAAGATGATTGATCTAAAGTAAACACCCATTCCAGTTGGTAGTATTACCAAGCTCCCTATTTATTTATTTATACCCCTCTGAGAAGACTTGCTAGTGGGATTTCTGATAAGGAGATTTCTCTCACCGTGTCATACTTCTGGATCATAATTTTTCTCCTTCCTTCTCTCTTTTTCTGGCTTTGTGTTTGGAAGTTCTATCTTCTCAGATGTTTTTCAAGTTCTTATAAGCCACCTCTCCTAATGGAGAATGAAATGAAGGCAGGCGAAATCCAAAGAGTTAATTTGACCTCAGTCAGGTTCCTGACCTCCTTCAGCCTTGGTCAGGTCAGCTGTAAAACTGAGTAAAAGCAGGACAGCTTTGGAAACCAGATGCTTCATCCCAGTGTATCTTCCTGAGTAAATGCTTCCTGCCATTTCCTTCCCCTCCCAAAAAAAGAGTTAATTAAATACTATTTTAAAAACTGATACACAAAAGTACTTTTCAAGGGATGCTGCCGTGACAGAAAATAATATTTATTACCATTTTTACTATCTCACTTCTGCCTAAGCAGAATTAAAATTCCTAACTTGATTTCCTCCCACAGTTAACTAAAATGCTTGAGAAAATAATGTAAGAAGGACTCCAATTGCTTAACCTCAAAATAAGTACAAATTCATGTGGTAAGGTTCTAAGATAATATATTCGTATGAAAAGAAGAGCAAAATTTCCTACATAGATGGAAGTATGCATTTAAGATTTGCAAGCAATTTCAACTAGTTTAAAGGAAGCAAAATTGTTTGCAATTGTATTATTAAGAAAAATCTGAAAAACCCACAAAACTTAAGGGAAAGAAAGTTGCATATGGCAACCACTTTGCTAATTCTGGATCTGAGAATTTCTTCAAAATCGCAAGAAAGTCATATGAAAAAGTCATGTTTTTGCAAGCTAGACTTTAAAAAAACAGTCAGATGGATCAGGAGCACTGTTACGGTTTTCCGTGTCTGTAACTCGGTCAATCCTGGTTAACCCTGAATGAACTCATACATATGTTAGCTATCTAACCGCATATGTTATATCTTAGATGATGAGGGTTCAAAGAAGGGTAAAAGAACTGCTGTAATTGCTGGAGAGTACAACCTACACAGGGAGAGAAAAAAATAGTTAATTTGTTTAGTCTAAACTGAACAAGCAGAAATCAGTGGTTCATGGAAGTCTATGTATGTTCTTTGAAATATGGGATGAGGAAAAATTGTTCTTAATGGACGCGGATGATACAATTAGGAAGAAAAGACAGGTTAGAATCAAAAGGACGCATTTAGGTTACATATCAGGCCAAGTCTAATAGGAGGGTCAGCAGGCAGTGGGGTTGTTTACTTAAGGGAAGTCATTAAACCTTATGTTCGAGATCTTCTTACGGCAAAGCTAGGTTAAGTTTACGTGGGAAGATCAGCATCATGCTGCTATAGCTCTGAAGCAGATGATTGGACTTGATCAGAATTGCTCGTATTTCGTGTCAGCGTGGGTCACACTGACAGGCAGCCTGAAACTGGAGAGCTGACCCAGTTTATGTTTTGCTCAAAAATAAACGCACAGCTCCGTAATACCTTATGTGCCTGAATTTCTCTCTCCCTTGAGACACTGTGGTTTGTTTGACTTCAGCAACAGAAAAGGCTCGCAAGCAGTGAGCTTATCTTCCACTTAGCCTGCAGCTACAAATGGAGGGGCCTCACTTCACAGCTTTTGGACCACTTTGATCAGATGGGCTACAAGAAGTTTTGCAGTTCTTCCTTTCTCATGCTTCTGCAATCCTCTTATCTTGTAAATTCTTTTATATATATATTTTCTGTGAAAGGTGTCTCAGTGCCTGAAAAAGTAACAAGAAATATTAGCAAGGGGCCCTAGTAAGAATGGCAAATACCATTTGCTTTGCAGGATAAATGCACTTACCACTCTGCAATGTGTTTTTCTGTTCCACATTGTGCAACAACAGAGAAGTTAGCTGAGTTAGCTGAGCTCAGTCCTTACTGTTCCTAGGTGCCAGGACCTCCCCAGAGGAAATAAAACAATGGATGACTGTAAAAGGTGGCAGCAGGAAATAGTTTATTTTGACTTACAAACAGAGTACATCTTTAATGAAAGTAACTTGGAAGGAATATATTTGCAACTGCTAAATGACTCTGTTTAGTCCCTTTCTTGCTCACAGGCAGTGTTGGTCAGAAACATTTCTGTTCAGCTGCTTAATTTGCTGGAAAATACTTGCTGGTGGAACCTGAGAAATGATGTCCAAATCACCTCAGCTTTCGGTTTACTGGAGTTCATGGTTAGCCCCAGGTACTGTTAGCTTGGGGAAGCTGCTACTGCTGGGTAGCCCCATCTCTTGCATCATGGGAGGTTTGGAGAAACCTGAAATTGTCCCGAACCATGTGGCTATAAGGTAGTCTTAAACTTAGACTTGGTCAAGTAGACTGAAAGCAATTCTTTTTTCCAAAATCAATCTTTCAGAGAGAAAAATCTAACGTAACTGCCACTTTGCTGGTCAGCAATAATGTCTCTGTGCTGCTGAGCCATGAGGTAGTTTATGCTATTAGCAATAGAAAGAAGGGAGGACTCAGGAGGCCCAGAAGGACAGCGACAACAAAATAGAGGGGTTTTTTTCCTTTTTCACATTGTTTTTCCTCACATTTATAGCAGGAGGATGGCCCATATGGCACTTCATGATTCTGCCTTTCTAAAAGATTCAAGCACTTTGGAAAGTGTAATTAGAGGAGCAGGTTTTACGCGGTCATATTTGTGGCACTGAATGGCTGATTTCAGTACAAACAGCAACAACAAAGAACTGCCCTAATTTCAGTGGCCATTAATTTTGCAAGAAAATGTTTCAGGTCACAGCAAGGGAAAGAGTAGGAATTCAGGGGTAGGTTTCTACCCACTTTATTCAGGTAAGTACACCTATATTTCAAGTGCCAAAAGAAGTCCTAATAAAGTGCCTCGCTTGCCATGATAGTCCAACAAGAGAATCGAGGAGTTTTGAAGGTGTCCAGGAGAGAGTTAGTGTACCTGACTTTGACTCCTAATTTATATCTACATTTTCGGCACTTAATGCAGTGGCATTTCTGAAGTGTGTCCATAAATTCCCTTTCTAGTTAGTGAAGAGAGTGGGCAGCTCTGAAGGTCTCCCGATAATTAGGCAGAGATAGGATTTCTCTTAGAAGGCCTTCTGTTGTGCCTGCACGACCCTGTTGACAAAATTTTAAGCGTTACACATAAAACAGAATTTCAGAAAGAGCATGAATTTCAACAAGATGCTTTTCTGTAATTTAAGCTGGAAATCTGAGTTGTCTTCTGCGTGAGGGAATGAAACTAGTGTATGTATTGGAAATAATAATAATAGTCTGCGACAATCTGTGCATGTAATACTTTTCAGGAAGGAGTAGGAAGTTTTGTAACTGTGCTGAATGAACCAGTGAGAGCAAATGAACTAGCAACTGAAATCTCAGGCTTCACAATATAGAAGGTGTAAGCTTGCTTTATCTCCTTGTGCTTGGCAACACGCCTGTGAAACCCAAAGGACTTGTTGCATAGGGAGGTGCAAGATAGCCTCAACTGAGAACTTTTTGTCAAAGCAAAGTCACCACCTGCTGTATGAGCGCGTCCTGGGATACAGCCTGAGCTAGGGCGTATGGGGTGGAGCGCTGCTGCTGGGAAGCCAGACAAACCCAAGACATTTGATTTTACATTCCATGCAGCATGCAATTTCGTTTGGATATTGAATCAATGGAAGGATTGCTGTTGGATTGAGAAGGGTAACAAGGGGGCAGTAGTTTTCAAGGTTGAACCTCGAGCTCTTTCAGAATGCTGATATTTTTATAGTGTCTGCTTAGTAACTTTTGGATGGTTTACAAGTGCATTTCCCTCACCTTTGTTTTTTTAAAAAAGCCCTGTTTGAAAATGAATTGTAGGAGGTAGCCTTTATAAAAATTTTTTAAAGGAATGTAAAAGACTGGAATTATATGATAGAAGATGCATTTTGACAAGATAGAATACTTCTTATAT